ACCCTGAGCCCAGCCTCCCTCACAGGGCTGTTGCTGTGGGGATAAGAGGGACAGCAGGAGGAGGAGGACATAAGCTGTTCTGAGTTCTTTAAAAAAGAGACAGGCGAGATATATATCTAATAAGATAAATAAATAGGTGATTGTATTTATTTATTTATGAATACTTACATATGGCTGTGAAAGTTGGACCATAAGGAAGGCTGAGCACCAAAGAATTGAGGCCTTTGAACTGTGGTGCTGGAGGAGACTCCTGTGAGTCCCTTGGACTGCAAGGCGATCAAACCGGTCAGTCCTAGAGGAGATCAACCCTGATTGCTCTTTAGAAGGCCAGATTCTGAAGATGAAGCTCAAATACTTTGGCCACCTGATGAGAAGGAAGGACTCCCTGGAGAAGAGCCCGATGCTGGGAACAATTGAAGGCAAAAGAAGAAGGGGACGGCAGAGGATGAGGTGGCTGGATGGAGTCACTGAAGCAGTGGGTGTGAGCTTAGGTGGACTCTGGGGGATGGTGGAGGACAGGAAAGTCTGGAGGAATGTTGTCCATGGGGTTGCGATGGGTTGGATGCGACTTCGTGACTAACAACAACAACAACACTTATATACCGTTATGACTACTAAAAAGCCATGAAGAGAGTACATAACAACAGAATACCTTAAAGCAATAAAACATTAAAAAGAGTGAAAGCATTAAAAGTACAACCATTAGGATACCGTCCACTATCTGCTGGAAGAAGGAAGTCCCGCAGCAGGCCAGCTGGGGAATGAGAGGAGACGTAGGATTCCTCTGGAGCACGGGGTTCTGCCCTTTCTGCACTGAAAGAGGTTGTCGTTGTGCTCCTTGTGGAGGCCAGTTAGCTAAGACCCGGCATCTAAAAGGCAAAAGGCTGCATTTCTTCAGGGAGGAGGAGGAGGAGTGGGCAGGGTGTGGATTCCTGGGAGGAAAGGGGAGAGGCAGGTGCTCCGATTCTGTCATGTTGACATTTAGAAACTCCCCGTTCGTTGCTGCATTGAGTAGCAGCGTGCCGGAATATGGATGGCACTCAGGCAAACACACTGCAGCCAGAAGTAGCAGAGGAAGGAAAGGTTCTGCTAGAGACTCTTTGCGGGGTGAGGGGATGTCGAAAGCATTCTTCTGCTTCCCTGTGTTCCTGCTCAAGCTGTCAGAATTGATTTGGTCTAGCATTTATAAATAGCTCTGCTGTGTATGCGGCTGCCTCCGCATGGCTTAGGTGACTCACAGAGTCGTACCAGTTGGAAGGAGCCTAGAAGGCCATCAAGTCCGGCCCCCTGCTCTGGGCAGCACTCAAGTCTCCCATCCAGATTCTGACCAGGGCTGATCCTGCTTAGTTTCCAAGATTAGGCAGGATCAGGGAGTTCGGGCTATAGGGAAGCCCTTGGCTGGACAGCCGGAGAAGCTTGAGACAGGCATGGGTGGAGATGCAAATAGAATCACACCTGGTTAGGAAGGCCAAGGGGGGCATTCGATTGCCCATCTGCAGCCACCTGTCTCTGGCTTTTCAATATTTAAATAGCAACTGTGAGATTTCTTGGGCAAGCAGAATTGGAACCTCTGCACAACTTTCCTGCTCCGTACTTCACTCCCCCTTAAAATTGTGCTCACCAAGTCACTGTTACTCTGGAAGGTAAGCTTCTGCTGGTGCTAGTGAAGTTCCATGGATCATCCCATGGAAGTCCCATGGAAATAAGGATGGCTAAAGAAGGCACAGATCTGCAGGTGTGTATCTCTGTGAATGCAATTTTGCAATTTTGTGCAATTTTGCTAATAATTGCTATAATTTAAATAGAACTGCATGGCATTGCACACTCCAGGTGTACTGGTTGTGGGGTTATGGGAGTTGTATTCTGTATGACTGGAGGTGAAGGCTGCAATCAAAGCTCCTTCACCTTTGAAGGAGAGGACAGCTGGCCATCTTGCAGGGTCAGCAACCCGGCCCACGTCCACAGGCCAGAACAGCTGAAATGCATCCATCAGAGAGGGGCACATGGGACACAGGACGCATCCTTGGTGAATGGTTCCAATAGCAGTTTCTGGGTCCCATGAAATACAAACAATTATATCCTCAAAGCCCTTTGCAAGCGTGTCACACTGGGCCAGTTTGCACAATTCTTCGGCAAGGGGCGGCATAGAAATGTTCTAATAATAATAATAATAATAATAATAATAATAATAATAATAATTCCACTATGATGAAGCATCCCTCAAACAACCCAACCACAGGCCATGGGCTCTTTGAGGACTGTTTCCTCTTCAAACAAGTCATGCAGCCCAAGTTTGGACAACACGACAAGCAGTGCCTGGGCGGGCCATCAGGCCAAGGGTGCCTGCATGTGCCACCCATTTAAGCACAGCACCAGGTGGGTCACTCAGTCTTTCTGGGCCGAGCTGGGGAAGGCCCTGGACCACACAGGGTTCTCCTGGAAAGCACTGCGAGAACGCAGTGGGGCTGGAGAAGCAAGGTTCCTTTGCTGTCACAGCACGCAAGGTGTGCTCACCAGCAGCACTCATTCCCGGGGAGTTTTTTTTCACTTGCCACTTGTTTTGTAGATTTTCACTTCATAGTAAACAAGGGAGCTAACAAGATTCTGCCAAGCAGAGAGGGGAGCTCAGCAGTGGTTGGGTCACCGCCCACATTCTGCAGAAACCCCCTGAAGACTTGCAGAAATGCCTCTGGGTGTCATGAGCTAGGCATTTCCTTTCCAGCCAGACTCCCCAGCACTTCTTGTAAGCGTCTTGATTCAACATAGAAGACTCCAAGTATACACAAGCCTCTGAGCAGAAACAAGGAGAGAAGTTGAACTCTCTCTGCCCCCCTTTATCCAAAGCTTTGCTTATGAACCCTTTGGGGCCCTGTGCAACTGGGCGTGCCTATGTTCTGCACTGTGAGCCCCTAACTGGGCCAGCCTGCGCCTGTAGGGACCGGCTCTTGGGCCCAATTCCTCAGGAGGTGGGTGCTCTCCTTCCAAGAGACTACCCAATTCCAAGTCTCCTCCCTCTGGAGGTTCATGTCCATCTTCTCCTTCATTCCCACAGGCGGAGAGATGAGGCCCTATGGGCATCCTTGAACTACTTTCTTCCAGAGCAGGCTCAGACTGGAACTGAGCGATTGAGTCTGCAGGTGCAGCCCTGTCCATTGCAACAGCAATTCTGCTATTGGCGTTTGAGCTCTGAGCCTCGTCTGGTTCAGCCAGCTCCCCATCATCCTCCAACTCTTGAGCTATCGGTCCCACCAAGACGGTCAGCTTCTCGTGTGCGCCTGGGAATCTTGCCCAAGCGCGCACACACAACAGTGGGGGAGCAGGCCCCATTCAAACAAATCCCCCATTGCTCCTGGCGGAAATGGTTGCTTCTAGTCCTGATATGCAACAGGAAGTAATTGGATTATGAAAAGGAGTCCAAGAAAGCAAGGCCGAGGCCGAGGCCACCGCAGGCATGGGGGACACTATGTGCGAGTATTGTTACACTGGGATTTGGGCTGCCTGCAGTCTGCTGGCTCCCTCGCCACCAGCCAAGAACTGAATCTATTTGGAGCAGGGGTGCCCTAGCCATTTTGATTTCTGATGTCAGGCTCAGTCAGCAGCAGGGAGCAAGGCCTCCTGGCACAGGTGCCTTGCAGGATTGTGAGGCCTGCTGGAGAGCAGTAGGATGGGAAAGGATGAATGCTGGGATCTTGTGTCTGCTTCTTGTGATCAGCACTAGGCACCAAGGGCAAAACCAGAACCATGGTGGAGGAGCATGCAGCACCTATGAAAGCTGCCCCCGCCTTCCCAGCCCTTGACTCTGCACTGGGGCAGCAACTAGGACCTGTGTGGTCACAGCTGGGAGCATCTCTGCATATTTACCCAGGAGTAAACCATATTAATCATACAGAGAGGATTGTGGCGTGCATCTGCCCAGGATCCTTATACTGGAACAGGCAATTGTGCCATTCCAGATGCTAAACATTAGTACAGCACTGATAATGGTTCTAGCCCCTATTGTGCTAGTTTTCTATTTGCAATGCATTGAAAATGTAGGGAGGCATCAAGATTTTAATTCCCCATTGGAGGCCCTAGGTTGGCTGGATGTCGCCCTCCAGCACTAAAACGTGGACTCTGCCCAGTAGCCTCGCTCCTGGTTTCAAAATGGCGCCCAGGTGGCACATGCCCCATATCGCCCCCTTCCGAACTGCTCGCATTTTCCGCAACTGACCGCCAGGGGTCACCCTACGAGATTTCTTCCCCGTTCCCTTTGTTGGCAACATGAGTTGAAGGGGAAAGGGAAAGAGGAAGGGGCACGTGCAGGAGTAATACGTCCGGATCTCTGCTGCATTTTGGAGCACCCTCCATATGAGGGGCGAAGCCGACAGGGAGGCATTGGAGTCATCATTGAGAGTGCAACGCAATCTTCTGCATGTTTAGACAGAAAAGTCCTGCAATTTCCAGCATGTCCCACCAAGCGATGTCTAACATAGCATCGTGCTATAAAGTAGATAAATATAGCGCCTTTTTCTGTAGCTTTATAAAAAAACAACGCTCGCTATATTTGAAAGAAAGGAGAGCAAAAAGAACCTGACAAAGAATATAGTGCAAGTTACTTTTTCCTCGTACTTTTCAATGCTCCAATAGCAAGCAACAATTCCACCTGTGGAGTGATGTGGAGGAAAAAGGCTTCTGTTCTTGCATTTCTAGGTATGAAAAAGAGAAAGGAAATCACAGGGATATCGCCTTTAAATCGCATCTGTTTCCACATTTCCCATCAGTCTCGGCCCTGGCAGCGGTGAACCGGAAGTGGGCACTGCTTCGGATCAGTCCCTTTGTTCTCTATTTCTTTGGAAGAGGAGGAGGGGCCTTCCGTGACGCGTCGCCGGTGCCGCTGGTTGGTTTGGCGGCTGCGCGTGCGCACTCCCGGGCGTCCAGGCGCCTGCCTCGTACCGAGCGGAGGCTGCGGCGGCGGCGCCCTGCTCCCGGCGCGCGCTCGGGGACACAGCCTCCCCCGCGGCCACGCTCTCCCCGCACCCCCCGCTAGGCTCGGGGCGACGCCCGCGTGGATGGGATGGAAGCGGGACCCTCGGGATCAGGTACCTGCCTGCGCTGGGCTGGTGGAGGGGGGTGCTTAGTGCACCACCGGGGGGTGTCTTGGAATGGGGGGATGCAATATGTTCGGGGGCTTAGGGAACCTCGTGCTGTTAAGCAAAGGGGCTGAGAGCTAAGAGTGTCTGCAAAGGGGCAGCGGAGTCCGGAGAGTGGGGAAGGTTTTGTCTTTTTGCTCTGTCTGTGTTTGGGCTCCTGTGTGGAGGGCCCGCCAGGTTTCGGGGCTTAGGCGAGTTCGTGCAATGGGGAGGAAGGGGCTGAGAGCGAAGAGGGGCCTGGGGAAGACCTAGCGGGTGTCTTGAAAAAGTGGGGGAGGCTTTTGTCTGCATTTAGTGGTTTTGGGGCCTCTCTGGGTTTGGGGGCTTAGGGGAAGATGTGCAGTTGGGGGGGGGGGGCTGAGAGCGAGGAAGGGAGCCTGCCAAAGAACAATGGTGTGTGTGATGGGGGCTCTTAAAAGAGTGGGCTGTGGTGGGAAATGCAATATGCCCAGGGGCTTAAGGAAGCAAGTGCAGTTGAGAGAGCATACATGAGAGCCAAGGGAGGCCTGCCAGGAAAGCGGGGTGCAGGGAGGAGTTTGGGAATGGGATCCCCTCCGCCCGTCCTTGTGTGCATGGAAAGTGGGCGCTCCGTAGGTGGTGAGCGTCAGGAGGCGGGGGAAGGGTGCGGGATCCGGGGAGAGAGAGGGGGCTAAAAGCAGGCAGAGGCCTGCCAAGGAACAGGAGGGTCTGTCGGAGAAACCTTGCGGGGGGGCATGGAATGTGTGCTGGGGGGGAGCAGTGCTGTAGCGACGAGGGTGCGGGGCAGTGCAGTGAGCAGGGAGCCGGTGGGAGCATGTGCTCTCAAAGGAACTGGAGGAGGGGAGCCGCCACAAAACTAGAAGGGCTTTGCGCTGGTCGTCTGGGGCCCAGAGGCAGCGGGGATTGGGGCCAAGTGTGCTTGAGAGGAGCGGAAGGGGGTCCCTGTGCAGCTGGGCTCCGTTAGGGATGGGTGCTGTTGTGATAAGGGAGCTGGGACAAAGTGGTGGGGTGCAGAGGGTGGGGTGGGTAGCAGTTAGGGGGCAGGTGGGCTAGAATGCACTAATGGGAGTGCAACAAGGAAAAAGGCTGGGAAAAAATGGGGTCCCCCCTCCCAGCGTCAGAAAGTAAGGCCCCGGCACCCACCGTGGGATGGAAACCAGGGAAGAGTTACTTAAGGTGGGCATCATGCAGAGCAGAGCCGGTGGGGTGGGGGCAGCCGAGCAGTTTTTCTTCTTGGAAAGCCTGCATGGGGTGAGAAGTAGCTCCTGTGGTGGGGCAGGGACTGTGTCTGTGGAGGGAGGGACTGTGGGCCCACCGGAGTGTAAGGTAGATGCATGGGATGGCAGGAGACGGGCCAGAAGCGGTGGACTTGCTCAGAAAGAGTTGTCCTTGGCCTCTGCTGTTGCAGGATAAAGGTGGAGACCGGCCGTGGAGACTTACTGCGGCTCTGTGTGAAATGGTGAAATGGCTCTTGGCGGTGAGTTGCACAGGACAGACGCCAGGCTTTTGGGGAGGGGGGCGTCCCCATGGAATGGGGAGACTGGCTTTGGGTACAGAGCGTCTCGCCCTGAGCGGCAGAGCACAAAGGGTGCGCTTCCCCCGGCTTTGTGGCTGGGGGCTGGGGGGCTTATCTGAGGTGAGAGACCTTTGGGGTTTGAAGTCGGGGTGATGCAGGAATGAAATGGATTTGTGGGATTTGGGTCCCTGGCCCCCTCTGCAGCCTTGCCTTACGGTGGCTGGTTGGTAAAAGTGGAGGGGAGAGGAAATGGCTGGGACCTTTAGTTAGTTAGGTAGCATTTTGCATGGATGCTGCTTGTGGTCCATTGAGTTTGAGGAAATAATCTGGGGAAGGTAGTGTTGGTGGAGAAGCACAGGCGGTACATTCATTCTCAGCGCCCCCCCCCCCCATGAGAGGGGAGCTGAGGATTCGGACTGTGAGGCAACTGGCCGGAGGGGGTGGGGGAGAAGGATAACGATCCCTTGTTAGAACAAGGGGAGCTGAGGAGCAGCTGGGTTTTCCCCCATTCTTCCTCAGGGCAGAGAGAAGAGGCATATGTCCCAGGGGGTTGGGGGAGGAGAGAGATGCACAGGGCCGGTGGTTCCCAGCAGTCTCTCAATCCCATCCATGCTGCATCCTACACTTATTGCCTTTTGAAGGGGATGGGAAGCTTCACAGTTCCTGTACATGGACTCTCCATCCCAAGTTCCCCATACTTTTCCACATTAATGGGAAAGGAAAGAATGCTCAAATGTTTCGAAGTGTTTTCTGATGTGGGATTTAAATTTCCCACAGTGCAGTCTAGAGGGGAGTGGGTGGGTGGTAGTATTTGCTAAACACTTGCAAGTGTTTGTGATCTTGTCTTGCGATTGTTGCAGAGTTGCTGTGACGTGGTCTCCAGTCATCTCTAACTTATGTATGAATGGATGGCCTCCAAAATACCCTGCGGTTGACAGTCCTGCTCAGTTTTTGTTAACTCAAGGCTGCGACTTCCTTTGTAGAATTCGGTCATTCATATTTTGCCTTCCTCTTCTACTTCTGCCTCCAACTTTCCTTAGCATTTTGATCTTCTCCAGTGAGTTTTGCCTTCTCATAATGCCCAGAGTTGGACGGCCTCAGTTTGCCATTTTTACTTCTCTGCCTTGGTGTGGTCTAGGAGGCACTAGTTTGTCTTGCTGTTGGTCCCAGAGTATTTGCAAAGCTCTCCTCCAGCACTGTGCTTCAAAAGCATCGCTTTTCTTCCTGTCCGCTTTTGCACTCATACGTAGTGATCCAGAATTCAGTAGTGTGGATGATCTTGGCCGTGGTTTCCCCGGAAGCATCCCTGCACCTGATGGATCTTGCTGCTCTTCCAGGTCTCAGTTTTGTAATTGCTTGCCTGCACTCTCCCTTTGAATTGATAATCCTGCAAATCTCAGATTTGTTGTGAAGAAGATCGCATGTGGTGGCTCTGGCAGAGTCTGTGCCTCAGCCTGTGGGGCTGTTGACCCACAGAGCCCCCAGTGAGTGTCAATGACTCTTTTCCCTCACTTTAGTTGCCCTGCTGGAGCACTTAAATGGATTGCCTCTGAGGAGGGAAGGGAAGGGACAGGATGGGACCGGACGGGCGCTCCCCTCCGCCATGCGGCAAAATGTGTATCTCTAAAGAAACAAAAATCTTCCTGCTTGACAATCAAACAGAAAAAGACTTTTGGGTAGTTTAGGATGATTTGGCCCAGAGTGCAAACTAATTGAAGACTTAATTTCACTTGAGATAATTTGGGCACAGATTTATTTAACTGCACATATAAATATAAATTAGCATATGCTGATATAGTACAGATTGTGTCCTGGGGTGGGGTGGCTGCAGACCTTTTATGTGCCTAGCAGTGCCCCTGTGCAGAGCCAGACTCGATCATGGGTAGGCCAAATCTAAGTTCTGTCCTTTAGCTGCTTTGCAGCAGGGTTAGTTATGGCGGGATGGATTTTCTGGTAAAAATAAGGCCTGAGGCAAGTTGAAGGCAAACTAAGTTATCTTGGCATTGATGTGTACTTCTATGAATGGGGGTGGTGGTCACATCATCAGGTAGCTGAAGTGCTGTGCTTAGATGGTTGGTTTGGGGTCTACCAGCCTCCTTCAACCTGGTGCCCACCAGACGTGTTGGACTGCTGGTAAGATCATTTGTTATGGTGACTGAGATTGATGTACGTTGCAATCCAAGACATCTGGAGGATGTCAGGTTGGCCTGGCTGCTGTAGAGGGGAAATTGGGTTAAGTTATCCTAGATTTGTTATGTTATCTAACCTGTGGTAGGATGGGAAAAATGACCTCTTATTAAAGTTGATAATGACAGTATTGGGCTTTACAACAAATTGCGATACGGATCAATCTGATAAATCATGTGGCTTAATTGCTAGGTTGCTCTGACGGTTAAGGGGGCTGTTTACATGACCCGACAGACCACAGTGAAACTGACATGTGCAGCAGCCAGTTCAAACATGCAGCCCCTGACTGGGGTTATCATGCCATGTGAACCTGACAAATTAGCATTAAACAACCCTGCTTGTCTATTGTTTAATCCTCACCTGACCTGTGCTGACTGGGTTCCTAGAACACAACAGCTCCTGAAGAGGTGTTGCAGTTATTAAAATTTCTATACCGCTTGTAGCCGAAGCGCTCTGGGTGGTTTACAACCATAATCACAGAATCGTACACTCAAGTCATCTGTCCAGATTCTGACCAGACCTGACCTTGCTTAGCCTCCAAAGTTAGGCAGGATCAAACATACAAGCCATACAAAAGCTATTTTGCAGTCTGGTGCTGCAATTTTTGTTGTCTGTGCTTGGTTAGTGACTTCTCTGCAGTCATTCAGCTCACTTTTGGTGGATGAAAACTGCCACTGAAGTAACTAGCAAGAGAACCTTTACAAAAGTAAAAGGCTTTACTTTTTAAACAGGAAAAAAAGGAATATGGACAAACAGGCTGTAAAAATTATAATAGGGTAGTAGTTTGAAAGCATATTTTTTAAACGTGATGAATGCTAAGGGAGAGACAGTGGATGGGAATAAAGTGTATCAAGGACCATGAATGCTGGAAGTAAGGAAATGCTGCAGTAAAAGTATTGTTTTGGAAGTCAGATCTGTTGAAGTTGATCGGGTGTGTTTCCAGATGTGTGTGTTGACATGCAGTGTTGTGGCCATTCTGCGCATCTGTGTGCACTGGTAGACGGCTTGCATGTGTGAATGAGCTGGTGTGTCCATTCTCACCCAGTGCAATACTTCTGTTGTTCTTGCCTTCAGTTCATTGTCACGCAGCTGTTTGGAAGAAGACAAGAGTGGGGCAGTGTGGAGTTATAACACCTAATTTTGTGGGTTTTTAAGAAGCAAGATTAAATTGCATCTGTGAGGTGGCTTTTACTTGGGGGCGGTACTGGCAGACTGAAATAGTTTAACTTGAAAACAGCTTTCTCCAGAAATGGTTGCAGCATTTTTG